ATTCTCTTCCACATGTGGCCACTGTAGCAACTACTATTAAGCTTAGTGGTCAGATAAAACTGGATAGAGATCTCCTTAAATACCAGAAACCACAAACCTCTGATGTGTGGGGCTTTTGCTAGAAGTTTCTGTGTGCAGACTGGGTTACATCTTCGGGGTTCAGGAAGGCAGTTTGTAACTGTCTTCACTTCCTGCTTGTGCGGAGCCTCAAGGTCATTGTGAGGAGATAGCTCAGCCTCCTCAGGTCTTTCCTGAGCATGTGCACAGCCCTGCATGTGTGCCAGCTGCCACGAACATGCCAGAGCTTTTCAAAGCTCCTTATGGACATACCATTCCCCAGCTTTTCTTTTAAAGGCTTCTCCCACCCCCAGCTTTTTGTTTGCCTCAACTGTTAGTACAGCCTCGGGCAGCTGCAATGCTTTAAAAAAAAAATTACCATTGATTTCCCTACCCACCCTTGTGGTGCTGGGAATCGAACCAGGGCCACATGCTAAATAGACACTGAGATATTCTTCAACTCTAGCCACTGATCGTTTCTCACATGCTCTCAGGGGGAGAAAAAAAAGTTGCTCCCACTAGGGGAATTCTGAGTCCAGATAAAGCCAAGTCTCATAAGTGGGGTTTTTTAGGAGACTACCAGACAGGTCAAATGACAACTCTCTGCAAATAGAACTTTGTAGGATCTCCAACCTCATTCTGTTCCCTACAGTGATTTCTAGGCTACTGGTTTTCACCATGATTTCAGGTGGCCAAAGGATGGGTAGACTGCTGATGGGCTGTGGCTGCTTTCAGAACATAACCTTTCCACAAGTGACATTCTCTCCTAGCCTGATCCCCCCACCCATCCTATCTAAATCTCACCCCGTGCTTAACTACTAGCTCAACTTCCATAGCCTCCTGGAGCTTCCTCTGAGCAGCCCACAGTCCATCTCCTGCTGATCACCACCCATGTCACTCACTCATTTGGATTCACCTCTGATGTGCATGCCTTGTCTCTCTAGCCAGATCATCTGTAATCCCAGCCGAATAAATGTTAAATGCTGAGGCAAACTGGTAAGACACGTTGCAAGTGCATATCATTTGGCTTAGCAATTCCACATTCAAGAGTTTGCCCTATGAAAATAATCAGCAAAATGTACAAAAAAAATCTAAGTATGTTAACTATGGTGGTTATGTAGAATGACAAATTAAAAAGCCTAAATGTTTAATAATAGAAACTGGTTATAATAAGGAACACAGCTGAAATAATGAAGCAAACATTCACCTATTCAATGAAAGGATGCCTGTGATAGTTTTCTACACCACAAGGGCATGTCAAGAATACGGGTGCCATTTCTAAAAACAATTCCATCACCTCTGCCACCAGCTGCACTCATAAATTCCCAAATAGAACTTTGTGAGGGTAGAAAATACACATATATTTGAAAAGAGTTTTAAAAGAAAATGCCAACTGATTATCTCTCTCCAGTAGGGTTTCCTTTTCCTCTGAACACTTTCTGTATGGTTTTACAGAAGTGAGCAATTCTTAAAATCTTAAAATTTATTGACTTTTTTCTTTAGAAATCAAAGTATTTGCCCACATAAGCATGCCACTCCTGTCCACTGTTTTAAAAATTGTGGTGAAATCCACTGACGATAAAATTCACCCTCCCTTGCTTAAGCTCTTTCCTCCTCTGAATCTAATTAACATGACTACATTACTGCTCTTGAGCTGCCACATTCAGAAATGTCCCAATTTCTATTACAGAGGATGAGGAGCTTTAATTCAATTATACAATGTTGATCCTTTCTCTCAATCGTTTCAGCTCAATTTTGTGTTAAACTCACATTCTACAAGATTAAAGTTAAGCATATGCCATTTATCATGAGCCACTTCTGTCCAGTGTAGACCCCATTTCCTGGACACCACGTCATTTTTTCCTCAACTTATTCCCTCTCTCTTTTGGGTGGAGCACATGCTCTATAACTTCTAGAAAAAGGAAGTGGGGGAAGTCAATTCATCTGTGACTCTGCAGAGCTGAAACAAGTTTTTTCTGCCCTCACATTCCACTCACAGTCTGCTTGGACAGAAAATTCTAGGTTGAAGATATAATTAAAGGTGTTACTGCCTGTCTGTCTTCAAGTTTCCAATGTGACTCAGGAGTTCCATGTTAGTTTTATTCCTAACTATAAATACAGTTTTCTCCTCCAGAAGTTTTTTGGATCTTCATTTAATTCCTGTGTTCTGAAATTTCACCATGATGCATGTCTTTTTCAATCATTGTTCTGGGTTTTGTTAGGCATTTTAACCTAGAAACACATTCTTCAGTTCTCAGAATTCTTATATTATTTCTTGGTAATTTCCTCCCTTGCATTCTTTTCTATTTTCTCTTTTAAATGTTAGACTTCCTGCATTTGCTCTCTAATTTCCTATTTTCATCTTCTCTCCCATCTCCTATTTTGCTTTTAAAATTTTGTTTTCTGGGAGAATTCTTTGTACATCTACAATTTCTAAACTTTATCTGTCATATTTAAAATGTTAAGGACTGATCTTGTTCATCATTTGCTATTCTTTTTTATCATATCCTCTTGGTGGATACAATACCTTCTCTTAAGAATATAAATTGTAATTTCTTTCATGTTTTCTTCTACTTCTGAACCATCTCTGTTTCTTCCAAGTTCTATTTTTTCTTTCATTTGTAGGCCTCCCACACAGGTCTTTCATTTTGTTTTAAATAAATTTTGAGCTACAATTTTTAAGTTAAAAGTACCCATTTTAAGTATACAGTTCATTAAGTTTTGGGAAGCATCCATGTCCATACAATTACACCACTATTAAGATACAGAACACTTCTGTCACCCCAAAAAGGGGTTCCTTCTCTTTTTCCAGTCAGTCCTAACCCCAGTCCCAACAACCACTGACCTGCTTCCTCTCACTACAGCTCAACCTTCCTTGAGGTTCTTGCAGATGGGACCACACCACATGCAGCTTCTGTGTACTGCTTCCAGCTTTTGCTGTGCACAATGCTTTCAAGATTCGCCCAGATGCTTATACGTATCAGTCATGCAATCCTTTTCCTTCCTGGATGAGATTCCTCCCATAACTAACTATTTCACCAGAGTTGAGTTTCCTGCTGATGGACATCTGAAGTGTCTCCAGTGTAGGCTATTATGAACTGAATCACAGTGAACACTCAAGCACACATCTTTGCGTGGACAAATGTCTACATTTTTAAGAATGGGGCACTGAAGGCCAAGTGATGCTGAGTGTAGAGCTGCTTAGCATGCCTACTTTAGGTTAGGGTCCAGAAAGCCAGTATGTCTGTCTCTTTGGGAGGAGTGGATGAGGATAGAGCAAAGTTGACAGGTGGAAGGAGCTTGTTATTCAGTAAAGTGTTCCACTTACTCCTGGCTTCCTCTGGCCTAGCATCCTATCTCTTCTGCGCTGGTGTACCTGGCCTGGAGCCCCTGCTTCAGGAAAAAACCCTCTAGTCTCTGCCTGGCTGATGGGACTTAAGAGGAACCTGAGCCCAAACTCTGATTTATAACAAGGGGGTATATGGAAATATTCACTGTGCTAGTTAAAACCAAAAGTCTGTGAATAACTTTTGCAATTTGTAAAAAGCAAGAAAGTCCTCCTAAGGTGGTAAGCAGGAGTATGGAATTCCAGCAGGGTATGGCTGCATCCCCAGATCTCTCACCCCAGAATGTAGCCCAGAACTCAATGTCCACTGCAGACCAGCCAGTGAGTCAAGGCTGGGGAGACCCTCCGGACATGTTAAGGAAGGTAAATCTGAAATGGTAACATTTTCTGAATGTACTATTAATTTAATAATGGTTCACTTATATTTTTATGAGTTTTGCAATTTGTCCAAGTCTTTTCAGGAGAGGAGGGGAGTTTAACTGCCTTGATCTTCTTGGCTCTCAAATGAACACCAGCAACCCCAAGCAGCACATGAGGAAACTGGGTCAGCAAGGTCAAGTGGCAGGCTCAAGGACACGCAACTTGTTTGGCACAGTCAGAACTAGAATCCAGGTCACTTGACTCTCCAGAAGTGCCTCTTTAATGTCACATTACCTCCTGGACATCACTGCTGACTATCACCAAGAGCTGGGGGAGAGAGGAGCTCTGGCCCTGGCCCTCGACCCTGTACATTCTAACCCATTTTGGGGGAAGGAGGTTGGGATTAAACCCAGAGGTGCTTTACCACTGAATTATCTCCCCAGTCCCTTTTAAAATTTTTATTTTTTATTTTGAGACAGGGTCTCACTAAGTTGCTGAAGCTGACCTCAAACTTGTGAACCTCTTGTCTCTGCCTCCCAAATTGCTGGGATTACAGATGTGTGCCACTACACCCAGCTCCCACCCACTTTTTCTGACTCTCACTGAGAGGAACAGCAGGCAGATGTCATCATCAAGCCTTCTGCAGTATAGGGAACCGAGGGATACAGAACTAAACTCTTCTGGCCAGGGGCAGAAATTAGAGCCCTAAGCCCAGTTTTCTTACTCCTCTCCTCTCCCAAGAATAGGAGGAGGGGAGAGAGTCTCTGCAGCATCTCTGAGGCACTCACTTCCCTGTCCCCTGGTCACAGCAGGACTGCCAGGGCACTTCCCAGACAAGAGGTTTCTGAGGAGACCGTAGCCCTGTGGGCCTCTGAGATTCCTTCCAGCCTCATCTTAGAAACACCTCTGCAGAGGTGGCAATAGCAGCAAGTTCTTAGAGACAAACCTGTGCCCGTGGTAGGATTCGTGGTTTTGTTTTTAAGAAACATACTTTTCAAAACAAAACAAGCCGGGCATGGTGGGGCACACCTGTATTCCCAGCAGCTCAGGAGGCTAAGACAGGAGGATCGAGAGTTCAAAGCCAGCCTCAGCAACAGCAAGGTGCTAAGCAACTCAGTGAGATCCTGTCTTAACATAAAATACAAAATAGGGCTGGGGATATGGCTCAGTGGTCAAGTGTCCCTGAGTTCAATCCCCAGTACCCATCCCGCCCCCCAAAAAATAAAATGATACCTACCTAGGCTGAATTCTAAAATGGGTTCATCTGGATCTTGTATGTTTCCTGAATAGAAATGAAAGAAAAAAATCACCTTTATTAAATCTTTCCTTGCTTTTAGATTTAATACAATAAAATCCACCACTCTACTTCTTCCCACCCCCAACCCCCAGTTATTATAGGAAATTATTTCTTTGCTTTCTAAACATTTTACTTTTGAGAAGCCTCAGTTTCTAAGACCACAATGCCCCTCCTTCTGGGGTCCACATGCTCACAATGCAGAGGGTTTGTCACAGCCAGGTACGTACTATGGACATTCCCATATCATCTATTGGCAAATGGGCCCCAGAGAGGCCCACTTAAACTGGAAAAGATGACGATCAGGATCTAGCAGAGCGCTTCCCAAGGGGAGGGTTGACTGTCCCTCCCAATTTCTTAGATCAATCATAAGAAAGCCACAGCAGAGCACCCTCCCCATTCTTCCCGTCCATCCTATGCCCAGGAGGCAGGCTTGGACAGTGTGGGCCCTGCATGCTGAGAACTCACACCAGGGGCCCTGGGCAGACCCTGCGAGGCTCACCTGCCAGAGACAGGCCCAGCATATCGGCTGCCACATCGATGGTGGAAGCCCGTTGCATTGCACGGGCCCTTGCGCCATGGCGAGGGCTGTGCTCTCTTGCTGTCATGATGTCATTTGTGAGGATATGCTTCTTGTTCCTGGGTCAGACCACACCTGATTCCCCAGGAAGCAATGTCACCAAGTCCTAGTCTCCTAAGGTGGCAGGAGCTCTGAGAAATAGAAGCAAACACTGGTAAGAAGCCGGAAGGATGGTGACTGCAAGGCACTATGGAGAAAGAACAAGACCTAACATGGGCAAGAGGCAGTAACCAGGGTCCTCTGGCAGATAAGGCACTGGGGTGGCATACCCGCTGCTCTCAGCCCATCTAATTACTACTTCTCCCCTCCACTCCCCCAACACGGTGCACCCATGGATTCCCATAAAGAAAACATGTTCTCTTCAACAGATATGCCACAATAAATGATGTGACTTATGTGCTCATACAAATGGCTTTTGCCACATCCAGTGGCACATGTCTATAACCCCAGATACTCAAGAAGCTGAAGCAGGAAGATCAAAAGTTCAAGGCGAGCCTTGGCAACTTAGTGAGACCCTGTCTCAAAATTAAAAAATAAAAAGGACCAGGGATACAGCTCAGTGCTAGAGCATCCTGGGATCAATCCCCAGTATCACAAAAAATAAAAATAAATAAATAAGGCTTTTGGGATTTTTCTTGTTGCTTTATTATGCTCTCCTATCGGCAAGTCTTACAGATCCTTTATAATCTCCAATCAGTTCACCCCTGCTTGGATAGAGGGACAAGAGCTGCGTGAGAGGCCTGCGGTCCACGGGCACAGAAGAACTCTGGCGGGACAAAACTCAGGTCTCTAATCTACTTTTCTGCTTCTCTGAGCTACACAAATTCCTGTGTGTCTTGGTCTCAGGCTCTGTTTCCCACAAAGCATCAAGTGGTAATCTGCGCCTACCTGAAGTGGAACGTGCTGAGGTGAGAGGGCGCAGGGTGAACTGCCGCCACAGGCTGAGTCAGACAGAGACTGCCCTGGTGCGGCACAGAGCTCACACTCCACTCCCAGAAGTAGGTTAAGCAGAGAGAATGGGGTGTCGGGGTTATCCAACCTATGTCCTACAACTCCTGCTGGATCCAGAGGAGCCAATCTTTGTAAGTCAAGATAATGAGGCTAAGTCATAAGGCTGTTAAAAACATCCTCTTGAATGTCTCCATACATCCAGGGAGACCCATCTTCCCAAGGGTTTCTATGACTCTGTACCTGAAGGACCTGGGCTTCTTCTCTTGACTCAATTCAAGTGACTTACTGGACATGTTTGCTTTTGGATCACGTGGCATTTCTTCATAGAAGATCGTCCAAATCCATCACCTAAAAACAGAAAAGTAGAAACTTGATGAGCTGATCAATCTGAAGCTCCTGAGAACACAAAGCCTAGAAAGGTGGGGAGCCAAGAGCTACTCCATGTTGTTTGAGCTCTATACCCCAATCTAACTTTTGGCTCAAAAACACAAATCTTGCTCAAACCTAAAAGAATAAGAAATAAAAAGTGCCCATTCCTTCCCCCAGCTACCAAGGGGTAATCTGTTGGGGGAGTCTGGGCCTGCCCTACAGAGCCAAGTAAGCAGCTGAGTGGGTTTAGGAAAAACACAGAGATGTGAATCTGAGTTCGAGCTTTCCTGCTCACAAAACCAGACCCCAGGAGAACCCTTAGAGGCTATGCCTTCTGGCACTGAAGATAAGACTAGTTGTACACGTCACACAGGGCTGCAGCTGAAAACCAAATATGTGAGAAGAGGACTCCACTGAACCTCCCTCTGCCCCTGCTGCTGTTGCCTGGCTCCCAGAAGGAAGTGCCAGGCCCCACTCAGGACCCAGGGCCCAGCTCATGAGCTACCTGAAAAGTCCCAGGTTCTGGGAAGGGGAAGACAACAAGAAAAGTGTGCTCAGCCCTCAGGCAGACTGCTTCTGGCCCCTATCTCTTCCACTGGGGATGCCCAGGGGCCCTCAGCTAGGCACCTTAGCAACAGAACCTTGGCCTGGCAGGGGAGCCACTGTAGAAATCACTAAGGGAAAGATGCACTGTTTTGTTGGTTTAATCACAGCCAGGCATGCAGGTACAGTCAAAAGGTTTACGAGGGCTGGGGATGAAGCTCAGTGATAGAGGGCTTTCTTAGCATATACAAGGTCCTGAGTTTGATCCCCAGTACCCCGGCCCATCCCCACCCCCACACAAAGGTGTACAAGCCAAAAAAATATTCAGTACAAACTGTACAACTGTACAACTATAGTACTAAAACCGGCATTTTACAGTAATCCTGTTATAAATTAACAAAAATTCACTAATAATGCAAGTGGCAAGTGGTATGAACTCATGAAAGATGAATACACATGGTAAATAATCTGGAAAAGAGACCAAACTCTATAATAATGAAAGCAATGCTAAATACACCTTTCTTCACCTAAATTAGTGGAGGTTTATCTGTTCCTCTAATGAAAATACATGTTGCTAGTGGACCTGGGGGACACTGCACAGGGCTCTCCTATACACGGGTAACATTTTAAAGTTGTATAAGCATTTCAGAAAACAAATCTTCAAAATTTATAAGTGATAACAATATTCATAAGTGATACAAGATTTGTAAGCAATAACAAGATTCTTGCCAATAATACAAAATATGTAATGGACTACTGAACAGAGACACCTGTAGCATTACTTCTAATGACAAAGACCAGCTATCAGTACGTATGTTCTGGAAAAACCATAAGATATGCTATTTATTATACAGCTGCTAAAATGATCCTAATAAAGCCCATAAACACATGAGAAGTTCTTTAACCTCATTTGTCATCACAGAATGCAAAATGAAACCATGAGCTACCCCTGAACACCCTCTAGAGGAGCTTCAAGGGAAAGAGTGGGCAGAGCCAAGTGCTGGCAAGGATGTGGGATGGTAACTGCAGCAGAAGCAGTGTGGCCACTCTGGAAACCTGGCCATCTCTCTGCAAGCCGAGCATCTGCCTCTCCCATGACCCAAGACACCACTCAGGGTGCAACAGCTAACAGAAATGCATACTTATGTCCACCAAAACAAATGTGTGCAGAACATTTAGAGCAGTGACAGCCTTAACTGATAGTAAGATCCCAGAGATAATCCAAACCCTCATCAACAACAGGATGGCTGGAACAATGTGGATGAACTTTGGAGACAGTGTCATGGGGAAAGCCAAGCACACAAAGCCTGCTCTAGGCAGGGCTGCCTGTGTGGGGTGCCCCCAGGCATGGAATCTGTGAGTGAGGAGTCAGCAGAGGGCTTTCCACTGGGAAGGGCTAGTGGGGCTCTGGTAACACTCTCTTTCTTGGTTTGGGGTCTGGTTCCCTGAGTGACTACACTGAAGATTCACTGAGCTGTGCATGAGTGGGTTTTGCACCTAAATAAAATGTACATTTTATTCCTCTACTAAATATAATAAAGACAACACAGAATGAACAAACGCTGATGTGGGCTCTGCGTATCAGGTGTGCTTTAATGAACTATTCCACCTGCGCTCTGGTCATAGTTATTTAAAGAGCAATGACCCAGAGGGAAGGAGCCCCAGGGAGACCACACTGAGACACTGGCCATGTCTGGGGTGATCATGGGGTTTGTGTTTTCTGTCTTCCTGTACCTCATCCTTGTGCATCATGGAAGGGTACACCCTATGCTGACCCACTGGGTGTGACTGTGCTGTGAGGGAAGAGTTCCTGCCTCTTGACCCTTTTCCCAGTGTGTCTCCAACATTCCATCACCTGCCCCGCTGCCCTGCTCAGTTTGGGACTGAAGGAGTCAGGGAGACACTTTGCATGGGACAGCGGAGACACATCACCTAACCGAGGGCCTCATCTGTACCCCATCATCTTGCCAGTCCTTGGGGGCTCCACTTTAATCCCCTTCTCCTCCTCCAGCTGGGTCCCTGCACATTTTTACATTATTATAGGTGTGGTGACGTCTCTGGAAATAGAAATCCATCTACAGACTAATTTTACACTAGATCATGGGTCAGAGAAACTTTTAGGTCAAAAATACCTCAGAAGCCACTTCATAGTTATTTGGGGGCATTTAATTAGAATCTGCAATTGAAGTCACCAAGACCCAGAACGTGAAGCTAATTTGCACAGCTGAACTCAATTTTCCTTCTTGGTCTCATTAATTTCAAATAATTCACCAAGGACTCCCGTATTCCCAAAGCCCATGTTTTCTTTCCCAGCTTCATCTGAAGATCAGACAAAGCTCATTAGGAGGAAGAAAAAAAAAACAGGGCTTAACTCAGGGAGCAGAGAGAGAATGTTGGAGTTGTTTTGGGGACTGAAATTTCTTCTTGGGGGCAAGAAGAAAGCAGCAATTGATCATGAAATTCATGCCCCCTTTCCTCACTCTGGAAATACAGGACCCCTTTCAGCAAGAGAACGCATGTCATCAAATGAATAGCAAACCCTGAGGTCCCTCCCACTAAGGTCCCCTCTCCTAGGCGATGATGACAAGGGATCCTGGTGAGTCAGAGTGATGTGGGGCTCCATACAGGCAGTAGGATTCGTTAGTGCTGGCAAGGACTCTCAGAAGCGTCTAAGGAACCAGGCTTGGGAAGGAACTTAGGAATCTCAGGCCATGAAGGAGTCTGAGAGGCCCCTGGACTTCAGTGGCCTTTCAGGGGCTGCTGAGATAGTACTGAGGATAGGGGTGAACCATAAGAACTCCACTTTGGTCCATCTTATACACTGGCATTCTTCTGAAAATAATCTTCAAAAGAAGTTGCAAAGATGAGATTGCACAAGTACAGACAGGTGATTTTTCTCAAGGTCACCTGGAGGTGAAGAATGAACTACCAGAATCCACGCAAAGCAAAAAGCCCAAATATGACTGGGGCTCCTCTGCTGCCCCGCCCAGCCCTTTGCTGGCCTTGTGGCAGCAAACAAGCCAAGAACCTTCCCTGTGCCCCCACTGTGCACACACAGGCAGAGTACAAACACAGGGACAGACAGGACCATGAAAACTATGAGAGTCAGTGTGAGTCAGCGGCCCCTGAGGGAGAGCTACTTTAGGAGGTGGAAAAGAAGAGGAACTTTCTCTCAAAAGCCGGAATCCAGGATAGCTGATATCACTGCTCAATGAGGTGTCTCACCACTCATGGGTACCCAAAATTACTATTATAACAACCTAAGATGACAAATGTCTCCTTCCTCCAGGAAGCCTTTACTGTAGACAGACCTTACTGATAAGGGTTCCCCTGACAGGGCTAAGCACCTGTACCTCAGGTTACTGCACTTCCTTGAGTGACAGTGGAAGAGCCATCTGGGAACCTTGTGTTTCTCCCATGTCCTCTGAAGTGCCTAGCTCAAGCCTAACCCTGCACCAGGGTGCCTAATGCATACCTGATGCTTAAACAAATCATCAGCCTCTGGGCTCACCTCTCTGGCTCCACCCCACTTCTCAGGCACAGTGACAGGTCCTTCTCTCTAGTCCCCTTCCAGTTTTGTCAAGCTGTGTGACTGAGTGCAGAAGAGGCACCTGCCTACATGTGGATGGTAAAACACTCTTGAGAGCTCTTCCCAGCTTGTAGTGGAGTAGGCAGATAATTCCAAGGCCCCGGGGTAACTCAGAGTCACAAGATGGAAGGAAATCAGGTCCTTGAGATCCTGTGGAGCACAGCCCTCTCCCCTCCTTTTCCCCACATACATACTGGGCTTAAGTTAAGCAAGAAATAAGCCTCTGTGGATGAAGCAGCAATTGATCATGAAACTCATGCCCCCTTTCCCCACTCTGGAGACATGGGACCCCTTTCAGCAAGAGAACGCATGTCATCAAATGGATAGCAAACCCTGAGGTTTGGGGGGTTTTGTTATAGCATCTAATGTTAGTTACCCTGAAATGTCTGGCAATACCAGGCACTCAACTAGCCACTCTAATGAAACAAACATGACAATCAGCACTTAAGACTTGAGCACAGCCTGGGAGAAAAGGATGCTTTGTCCTCTGGATGAAGTATGGCTGGTTCAGGACAAAGGAGCACACAGGTGATAGAGGGACCACCAAGAGGCCAAGAAATAGGAAGAACGCAGAGAAATAAAGATCTCACATCAGTAGATAGTCAACCAGACAAGAGCATTTGCCTCCTACGGGAACCAGGAAAAAACTCAGTTTCTGCTACAGTTCTCTCACAATCGAGAACAGGTCTATGAAGCCCAGGTACCTGGGGTATTCCCACACACCAATCAATTCCACAGCACAGTCTCCAGCAGGCACTAGCTGGGAGTCCTCTACTCTAATCCAATTTGATCCTGACACCATCTGAAAATGGTGTCAGAGCCCACCAGCTGTGGGTTCAGGCCCACA